TAGTGGATGCACCATTTTTGCATTCCCGCCAATGTACACAAGAGTTCCAATTTTTCTTCATTCTCACTAACACTTGTCTTTTATATTTTTGATAATGGCCATTCTAACAGGTGTGAGGAGATATCTTACTGTTAGTTTAATTTTTATTTCTCTTGATTAGTGATGTTAAGCATTTTTTCATTTACCTGTTGGCCATTTATATATCTTCTTTGGGTAAGTGTCTACTCATTAACCCATTTTTTAAATTGGATTATTCATTTTTTGCTATTTATAGGCGTTCTTTATAAATTTTGGAAATTAACCCTTTTTGGGATGTGGTTTACAAATATTTCTGTATTCTGTAGGCTGTTTTTGCACTCTGTTGTTTCCTTTGCTGTGCAGCTTTTTAGTTTGATGTAGTCTCGCTTGTGTATTTTTGCTTGTGTTGTCTTTGCTTATGGTTTCATATCCACGATATCACTGCTAAGAACAATGTCATAAAGGCTTTCCTTATGTTTGTTTGCTTCTAGGAGTTTTACTTATATATTTTTTTAATCTAAGTTTTTAATCTATCTTAAATTTATTTTTTTATATAGTGTAAGCTAAGGGTCCAATTTCATTCTTTCGCATGGGGCTGTATAGTTTACCTAACACCATTTGTTGAAAAAAGCTATCCTTGTCCCATTTTGTGTTTTTGGCACCCTTATCAAAGATCAGTTGACCATAACATGTGAAACTGAGAGCTCATCAGTCTGTTTCTATTTTTGTTTCAGTGCTATACTGTTTTAATCACTGTAGCTTTGAAACATATTTTGAAATCAAGAAGTGTGATGTCTCCAGGTTGGTTCTTCTTTCTCAAGATGGTTTTTGGCTATTTGGGATCTTTTCTGGTTTCACATGAATTTTGGGGTTTTTTATTTCTTTTTTTTATTTATTTCTTTTTTTGGACGAAGTCTTGCTCTCACCCAGGCTGGAGTGCAGTGGTGCAATCTTGGCTCACTGCAAGCTCCACCTCCTGGGTTCATGCCATTCTCCTGCCTCAGCCTCCCGAGTAGCTGGGACCACAGGCGCCTGCCACCACACCCAGCTAATTTTTGTATTTTTAGTAGAGACAGGGTTTCACTGTGTGGGCCAGGATGGTCTCGATCTCCTGACCTCGTGATCCACCCACCTCGGCCTCCCAAAGTGCTGGGATTACAGGCGTGAGCCACCGTGCCTGGCCAGGGGTTTTTATTTCTATAAAAATTGCCATTGGGATTTTGGAAGTGATTGCACTGAATCTGTAGATGTGTTTGAGTAGTATAGACATTTTAACAATATTAAGCCTTCCAATCCATAAACACAGAATGTCCTTCCATTTGTGTCTCTGTTAACTTCTTTCACCAGTGTTTTGTTATTTTTAGTGTATAAGTTTTTCATCTCAGTTAATTTTATTCCTAAGTATTTTATTTTTTTGGTGCTATCGTAAATGGGGTTCTCTAATTTTCATTTCAGATGGTTTATCATCATAACTAATTTTTCATTGTCAATTTTGCATCCTACAACTTTATGGAATTTGTTTATTAGTTCCAACAGTTTTTGTGAGGTCTTTAGGGTTTTCTCTCTATAAAAATAATATCTGCAAACAGGGATGATTTAACTTCTTTCTTTCCGATTTGGATGCCTTAAAATTGTGTTCTTATCTATAATTTGATTCTTGAGAAGAATTTGGAAAAAATGATTATGAAAATCACACAACCAACTCATTCTTTTCATAGGAAAGGTATTATGGTATGCCCAAACTACATAAACCCCTGATTCGAATCCCACACTATGATTTACCTGCTTTGAGACTTTGAACAAGATACCAAACTCATGTGAGCCTCAATTTTTTCATTTGTAAACAAGAGATAATAATAACACCACTTTGCAGGATTGAATGATTAAGCTAGGTGAAAATATCCAGCAAGATAAAGGTTATTTGTGATGTCACTAGGTCACATCCTTTGCTTCTAATTTGTTTACTCCTGGACTGTGGGCTCTAATAGAACTCTGCCACCACCCGGTGTGACATGGAGCCACATACCTTCCCCAGCCCTCAGTTTCCTCACTTGTCCTAGAAGAAGATATGATATTGTTAACATTAAGTGAATTACATGTGTAAGTACTTTGAAAAGTTCAAGATCTTTTACAAATGTCAGGTGTTGAATGAGAGGTAACTAATACCTTGCATATTTTACAACTTTGGAGCAGCTAAAAACTTGGGTGGTCTGACATAACAGATTATCTGCCAAATATGCAGTTGGGAGGCTTTCTAAGGATTCCTATTATTTCCATTTTACTTCATTTCCCACTACTGTCGATGGAGTTGGTTGTATAATATTTTATTTCTCCTCCCCCAGGACGGCAATGGATACATAGATGAAAATGAACTGGATGCTTTACTGAAGGATCTGTGCGAGAAGAACAAACAGGTAAAACTTACTTACCATGGCACTTACTCCTTTAAGCAGACTCTATGGATCCATCCAAAATCAACTGCACATAATCTACTTTAAAAATTTATAGAGGAGCAGAAATAGAATTCAATTCTTAACTCAATTTGGTTCTGGCCTAAATCAGGGTAACTGTAATAAATAGATTTTTAAAACAACCTTGTGATTATTCACATTTGTATAAGAATTTAATCCAGCTCTTTTGTTAATGGATTGATGTAACAAGTAGTTTCATCTCGAATTTTATCATTTGACAGTGGTTAATTAACTTCCATATTTAACTGGATTACAATGCCATTTATGTTTATCCAGGAGCTGGATATTAATAATATTACAACATACAAGAAGAACATAATGGCTTTGTCGGATGGAGGGAAGCTGTACCGAACGGATCTTGCTCTTATTCTCTGTGCCGGGGATAACTAGAGTTGGTGGTCGCAACCACTTGCTAGTGATACACTGTATCTAAAAAATAACTGTGCACTATAAGGGAGTAGGCTGTATTTTCTTTTATATCTGTAAATTTAACTGCATATAGATAATTATCCAGGATGTGTGGCTCATTCTTTTCAGCTTGTTTCTATACTGTTTGTAATACACAGTTTTTGTAACCATATGATTGAAAAGAAGAAAGTCTATGCTTAGGCCAGTCAGTACACCCAATTTAAAAAAATAACATATTCTTGCTTTCATAAATATAGTTGAACAAGATTTCCCTAAAAATTCCACCAGGATTAATTTCTAAAATTCTAGTCTCTGATGTGCAAATGCACATTTGTCACTGAATAATGGAATTATGTATGACAAGCCAAATATTCTTATTTTAGACAATCATAGAACTGTCCCACAAAATATTTCTAAGCTTATTTCCAACTATTAGGAAGAATGTGCTTTTGCATCTAAAATATAAATAAATAGTTAATTGTGGCTTTATGAAGTTAACAGTCTCATTACAGATTTAGTTTACCAATCAACAGCATGTCTACTGCTTGGATCCATACAAAACTATCAGTTCAAGTTGATACGGTAACAAGGGAAGGGAGCACCAGATGACACATAAATCTGTCTGATTCTATGCCTGTATTTCCAACAAGCCTACTCTCAGAAAATATGACCTAAATCCATTTTCTAAACTGTTTTCACGTGTTGCAGATAATAATTATTGTAGTCAACTGCTGTTTCATGTCATATTCTGTGTAATCTCTGATTAAATCTAATATACTGCGTATCCTGGTGTCTAGTTTGCATACTTCCTGGATTTTCTTTCTATGTAGAACTGTTCATTTCCACCAAGGGTATCTGCTGCCTCTGAAAATATTTTTTTCTAGCTATAACAACTCTATTTTTTACTACATAATTAAATTTTAATGTAAAATTCATAGCATCCTGATTATTGAATGTCATATCATCAATACTTTTGTGTATTCTGTGGATTCTATATTTCATATTGAGATCAGCATTCAAAATAGTTCTATTTCTATCTGCAAATAGTTTCAAATGAGTTTAAAAAATAACATCTGAAAAGAAATGCTAACGTAATCATTTATCTTATCTAGCAAGAAGATTCTAAAACATTCTTTAACACACATCTAAGTCACAGTTTCACATATTTGTAGCTAGAATATCCTATACTGGTTATAGTTGACATGTAACAGTTGGTGATTTTAGATTTCTTTGATTGTGAAACAGGGAGCTATGAGAGATGTGTCCATGTGAAATTTACAGTTACTGCCTAGGAGTTAATGATCGTTCTGGGTCAGCTTGAATGTCCCCGTTCTATAAATACAACACTTATTTTCTGAATTCATAAAAATAACAAAAAAAATGTGAACTATAATGTTTCCCTCAAGAACAAACAGAAACAAGATCTGCCAAAAACTAAAATTCATCAAATGATGTTGAGTGGGAGATTGGCTTTGCCTTTAGCGTGTAAATGGAAGCACTGCCATTAGACTGAGCTTAACTACTAAGAATAAAGAAAGAAGAAAATAACCTTAATCTCTTGTATTTGTTTTTTTCTTCAAAATGTCAGCTGGATGCAATCCATGATGGATCCAGGTGGAAATGTAGGATGAAATTATTATGGTCTAAGGAATCTAAATAAACATATATGTGACTCAGTGAACTACTGGATACTTCGTTGAATTGAGGGGTGTCTCTAACATTAAAATTTACAAAGAAATCTCAAAATTTCCAAATATTTGAAGTTTTCTGCCCAACTGACATAGTCAAATATTTAAATTTTTTTTTTTTTTTTTTTTTTTTTTAAGACCTAGTTTCACTCTGTCGCCCAGGCTGGAGTGCAATGGCATGATCTCGGCTCACTGCAACCTCTGCCTCCTGGGTTCAAGTGATTCTTCTGCCTCAGCCTTCTGAGTAGCTGGCACTACAGGTGCCGCCACGACACCCGGCTAATTTTTGTATTTTTAGTAGAGATGGGGTTTAACCATCTTGGCCAGGCTGATCTCGAACTCCTGACCTCATGATCTACCCGTCATCGCCTCCCAAAGAGCTGGGATTATAGGCATAAGTCACTGTGCCCAGCCCATAGTCAAATATTTCTTCTTGAAATATCTCCAAAGGAATAAGAGGAACATACAGAATTTTCCTATATTTCATTCATAGAAAAGTAACTATTCACTACCAAGTATGCACCAAAACTCTACCATATTTGGCATTCTTACAGTAACAGCATGAGCAAAGAAAGAAAAACAACAACAAATTATGATAGGGAAATTTCTGAAGAGACTTCCTAGAGGGCTGTCAGCAATAACTGTCATGAATCTAGAAGCAGGACTAGCACAGTAGGCTTTAATTCCTGAGCACTATCACACAAAGAAATTCCTACACCTCAGCTACATCAGTCGCACTTACCTATAAATGACAGGTCTGCTTCCTCGAGCACAGAACAGGATGAAGAATGAAAAAAATGAATCTAGATAGGCAAATATAAAATTACAGGCATAATGCCTACCTCATACCACAAACAAAATTCATTCCAAGTTTATTATCAATATAAATATGAAACATATGTAAACACAGGAGAATAACTTCAATACTTCATGCATGAAAATCCAATTATGAAGAAACAAATTGAAAAATTGGACTCTATTAAAATTAAGAATTTCTGTTCAGAAAGACTATACACTTCAACAAAAAACTATTAAAGAGAGTGAAAATCAAAGTGGGAGAAGATATTTGCAACACATACTTGACAAAGGCACATACCCAAAATACATTAACATTACTCCTAGAAACCAACATTTAAAAATATAACCCAACAGAAAAATGTGTAAGAAAGCTGAACAAATTTTTCACTAGAGGATACCCAAATGATATCCAATAACATATACAAGTAATCAATTTTATTAGTAATCAGAATAAATGCAAATTGGCCAGGTGCAGTGGCTCACGCCTGTAATCCCAGCATTTTGGGAGGCTGAGGCAGGAGGATCATTTGAGCCCAGGAGTTTGAGACCAGCCTGGCAACATGGCAAAACTGTGTCTACAAAAAGCTAGCTAGGCACGGTAGCGTGCACCTGTAGTCTCAGCTACTAGGGAACTTGGGTGGGAGAATCACCTGAGCCCAGGAAGTCAAAGCTGTAGTGAGCCGAGATCGTGTCACTCCACTCCAGCCTAAGCAACAGGAGACCCTCTCTCATTTAAAAAAAAAAAAAAAAAGCAAATTAAACACACAAGATGCCACCACACACTTACAGAATGGCTCAAGGTAAAGAGAATTTGAATGCTTACTACTGGTTAGGATGCGGCACGGTGGAAGTTCCCAAACAGCTTGGTGGGAGGTTAAATTGTGAATAGTCTTGGAAGCCATTTGACAGTATCTACTCAATTTGAACACAAGCATACCCTAAAACCCAGCAATTTCACTTCTAGATATTATCAGTCTAACAGATAAAGGTGTATATATTTTTGCCAAAAGAACAGAATGTTCACGGCAGCTTTGTATTTGGCATAGCCTCAAACTAGAAATAATTCAAATGTCCACTAACACCAGAACTAACAAATAAATTGTGGTACATTCATATATACTTTATATTCTATGGAATATAACAATGAGCATGCATAAGCAATTACTACACAGAAAGAAAGCCAAAAAACAGAAGAATACATACTGTGTGATTCTATTTATATAAATCTCAAAACAGCTTAACGATGGGGTTAGAAGTCAAGACAGTGTTTAGCTGTGAGAAGGAGGAAAGGAGTCACGATGGTGGGCAGAAGGGAGGCTTCTGGGTTCCTGGTAATGTTCTGTTTCTTCTGTTTCTTGACCTGGGGAAAGGTTACCCGAGTGCATTCATTTGTAATAATTCATGATTTGTGCATTTTTAGAAGTCATACTTCAACTAACAAGCTAAAGACATTGATGGGCTTTCTCCAAGGTTTTTGTAATGTAACTGTTACCTCCTAAAAACCTTGTTATTGTCTCTTAAGTTATGATCCCAAGAAATATCCAACTGGGTGAGAGACATGAGCCTGACTTACTGTGTGACATAGGGCAAGTCACATAACTTTCTAGGTCTGCAGTTTCCTTAACTGTAAAACAAAAACATTGAGAATTAGCATTTTCTAAGGCTTTACCAGCTCTAAAATTCTATTATTCAAAGTTATTAAATTCTCATTGTTTTAGTTTCCACAAGAACAATAAGGAAACAATGGCTGTCACTCTGTACCTGAAACATTTCCTGGAGGTGGTTTCACATGTTAATGGTAAGATGAGTGAAACTGTTACCAATAATCTTTAATTTACTGAGTATTAACTCTTCCACTAGTACAATAGAAGCAGGACTCTTACAGAAGGTATTGAGTGACAAAGTAACTCTTAAGGTGAATACTGATGTGGTTACAGCCCACATGTGGTCTGTCATAGAATTACCCATAAACAATGTTTTTCTTTCAGACTCAGGAAAAAATATGTTAGTCAATATCTCCATGATCTCTCTTCTCTGATCCTCTCTGCCATGCTGGCAAGCTTTGCTTTCTCATCAACCAGTTGTAATAACACATAATAATGATGCAATAGATGACTAAGAAACTATTAAAAGAACGATTTTTGTCTTTAACAGAGGAAAAAAATTGCATACAAACTCATACAAATCAAAAATTTTACAATACCCCATTAAGATACCAATAGGTAAAACGACAAACAGGAAATTCACAAGTGTATAAAAGTATTCAATCTCACTAATAATAAGTTTTTAATGGTACTATCATTTGTTACATGTAAAATTGGTGAATACTTTTAATTGTTGGCAGGTATTTGTTGAAATGGGCACTGTCACACATTACTCAGGGGGGTTTAAGCCCATACAAATCTTTGGAATAACAATTGGATATGTATATCAAAAAAACTTTAAAAGCTTCATAACTTTGATTAATAATACCACTTCTAAAAATGAGGAAAAAATTCTAAATTCTAAAAATGTGTTATACACAAAAGTGTTCAGTTTTATTTATAATACTGAAAAATAAAAGTAACCTGTGATCTCACTTATGTATGGAATCAAATAAAGTTGAACTCATGGAAGTAGAAAGTAGAATGATGATTGGCTGGGCATGGTGGCTCATGCCTGTAATCCCAGCACTTTGGGAGGCCTAGGCAGGCAGATCACCTGAGGTCAGGAGTTCGAGACCAGCCTAGCTAACATGGTGAAACCCTGTTTCTACTAAAACTACAAAAAATTAGCCGGGCATGGTGACATGCACCTGTAATCCCAGCTACGCAGGAGGCTGAGGCAGAAGAATTGCTTGAACCCTGGAGGTGGAAGTTGCAGTGAGCCGAGATCATGCCACTGCACTCCAGTTTCGGCAACAAGAGCGAGACACCATCTCAAAAAAAAAAAAGTAGAATGATGGTTTACTAGAGGTTGAGGGAGTGGGAAGAAGAGGGTTTCTGATCAAAGCGTACAAAATTTCGGATAGAAAGAACAGGTTTTAGGATCTACTGCAGGGTGACTATAGTCAATAATAATGTACTGTATAATTAAAAATAACTAATAAAAGTAAATTTCAAATGTCTCTCCATAAAGGCCAATAGGTAAGAGAAGTGATAGATATGTTAATTAGCTTGATTTAATCATTCCACATTGTATATGTAAAGGTAAACTGAGGCTGGAGCCAAACTGGGAACGAAGACACAAGGCAAATGGCAGTGAGAATAGCTTTTATTAGGATTCGTGGGTGAGGTTCCTCGGTCCAAAGGTGTGGGCCAAGGAAGTTGCGCTGAGGAAGGAGGGTAGGGGCTTCTTATAGCCTGAGAGGTAGGGAAGCTGGTTGTTCAAACAGGGCCTGGGGAGGGGTCTTGAAACTACTAGGGCAGGAGTTGAGTAAGGGTCACGAGGAAGGGGTCTTTGGAAACTGTTAACTGAAACTGCTGTTTACGAACTTGTGGAATGCAGGTGAGCTGCAGGTCATGGGGGAGTGTGGCTGCCCAGCTGGAACTCTGATGCATGTAAGTCTGCGGGTGTGTATAAGGGTGAAGGGAGTCTTTAACAAAAGGCCTGCTACGCCGGGTAACACCGCCATGTTGGGTCTAGACTCCTGCCTAACAGTATACATATACCAAAACATCACACTGTACCCCTAAAATGTACAGGGTACCCCATAAATGAATTCAATTATGATTTTCTAATCAAAAGTACTATTAATACTAATTTTAAAATGCATTGGCAAGGGAGGCATCAGCATTCTTGAAAAACATTTAAAAACAAAAAATTTTAAAACAAAGCAGGCTCAGTGGCTCATGCCTGTAACCCCAGCACTTTGGGAGGCCAAGGTAGGAGGATCACTTGAGGTCAGGAGTTCAAGACCAGCCTGATAAATATAGCAAGAAACTGTCTTTATAAAAATTTAAAAAGATAATAAAATTATAAATAATCCTATTTCCAATAAATTAAATTATGATACATCAAAACAACAGAATACTAAAAATAATATTTATCTTAAAAAGGATCTGATTTATCATGTAATCTGAATTTTTTTTTAAAAAAAAAGGTTGAAACAACACTGGAAAAAAAATGTATTAAGTTATATAAATGTAAACATTTAGTATCAATTTAACCAGAAAGAGAAACACGGCTATATTGGTGGAATCAGTGGAGGGAAAGTGTCTTTGTGTGTTTGGTGAAAGGTGGGTGGGAAGGTGGGTTTGGAAATGGAATGAGTGATAAACCATCACTAATGGTGTGTGGACACAATATCAACACAATAATGTGATAGTGAATAAGCATCACAAGATCTGATGGTTTTATAAATGGGAGTTCCCCTGCACAAGCTCTCTTGCCTGCCACCACGTAAGACATGACTTTGCTCCTCACTCACCTTCTGCCACGATTGTGAGGCCTCCCTAGCCATGCTGAACTATGAGGCAATGAAACCTCTTTCCTTTATAAATTACCCTGTTTTGGTTATGTCTTTATTAGCAGCATGAGAACAGACTAATAGACAGGATTAGTACAAAAGGTAAAATGGAGACTAGGTAACTGTCTGCATTTTATTTTGAGAGTATTGTATTGCAAGCATGTAGAGAAAAAGTGTAACAGCCTAAAAAGCCCAGTGAAAGTCAGTATAATTAGAAATGTCAGGCCACTTATTTCAAACCTATAACATTCCCCTATATGTACACAATTAAATGTAATAAATGTAATTTATGTACACAATTAACTGTCAATGTAATTGGGGTTTCCATGGGGCTTGTGGCATATATATTCAAACAGGAAAACTGGATTCCTTTGCAGATTTATTCAGATAAGGTAATATGGAAGCCGGTTTCCTCTCCTGTCAACTTGGGCAATGGCGATAGTCAGTCTAGTGAACATGTTATAAGTGACTCCTGGGAAAGCAAAATGGACATTTTAAAAATATAGGCTCAGAAGTATAGCTCTGTAGACTTGAGACTTTGGATTCATTATTATTTGATTTTCAGGATGACAAAATAGTCAAACCAAAGAGGAAATTTAATCAAATGATACACAAAAATATTTTATAGACTTTGTTTACCTTTTTTACCCAGAAAAATCTATTCTTCTTTTACAGCTGGGATGGCATGCTATCTCCTAGGCATCACATTCTCTAAACTCTGGAGACAGAATGAATTACTTCCTCCTCCACACTCAAATACTGCTGGAATAATACTTATCACAATGTACCATAAATAATTATTTATAAGTTTGACTATCTTGCTAGATAATGAATTTCAAAAGGGCAAGGGCTATAGCTTATTCAGTACTAAATGAAATGCCTGGCTACAAATAGGTCCTAGTAAAAATTAAAGATATGAGTTAATACTGAGTTACCCAAAGAAGTAATTCACAAGTCCAGTGAAAAGAAAATATACTGGAAAGGCAAAGTCTATTGTATTTAGTGTGTATCCTCTAATTTCTTTCTTTTAGGCCCTATCAGTATAGGTATAGTATAATATGTAACTTACATACTACCCCCACCATTGAGTTTCTCCCGATTTTCCAACCCACAAAGATCTGTTTTCTCTGCACTTCTAAGCACTTTTTAGTGGTAAAGAGGAATCTTTACCTACTACCTACTCTCCCCATGCCTCCTTTTTTTTTTTTTTTTTTAAATGTTTTGAAGGACTATATTTCATTTTATTCATCTTTGAATATACAATGGCTATCACTGGCTTGGCACAGAATACATATTCAATGCATGTTTGTTAATTAACAATTTATTAGACTTGAAATAGTCAAAAGATGAGAGATCATTTGTTTCATTTCTATTCCCTTTTTTGTAACCAAGATGAATGCCAAAGTGGTCTTAGGAACCTTTTGTCTTCCTGATGAGTCCTTCTATGGTGTCCCACTGCTCCTTGGTGACCTAACACAAAAAGATGTCAATTTAATGTGCTTTTTACATATTTTTAAAGCTTAGTATCCGAGCTGCTAATATTACATTATACACACAAAATGGCATTACCTTTCTCAGGTCATTGAATTCTCCTGAAATAAGTACTTCCTCTCCACCATCAAATTTAACGACCTGGAAAAAACAAAATTTTAAACTCTGAAACTACTCCTTTTAAAAAGTTTCTGAACCACTAGCCATTTTCCCATACTTTGGATGGAATATCTCTTTGGCACTTTAAATCAAGCCCAAATTTTAAAGATAAAACTCATGATTAAACCTAAATTGATTTACACAGTTCATAATTCTATTTCTAACATCTCCACAATTTCAAAAATCTACCCAATCTTGAAGATCATCTTAAAGGTATATCTGTCAAGGTAACTTGCATCTATTAATTTATCACTTGATATGGTTTGGCTGTGTCCCCACAAAAATCTCATCTTTAATTGTAATCCTCATAATGCCCAGGTGTGGAGGGAGGGACCCAGTGAGAGGTGATTGGACTAGGCAGTTTCCCCTATGCTGTTCTTGTTATAGTCAGTGAGTTCTCACAAGATCTGATGGTTTTATAAGGGGCTCTTTCCCCTTCACACACACACACACACACACACACACACACCTCTCTGTCTCCCTTTTCTCTCTCTCTCCCTCTCTTTCTATTGCCTGCCACCATGTTAAGTTACGACTTTTACCCTTCAGCCATAATTGTAAGTTTTCTGAGCCCTCCTCAGACATGCAGAACTGTGAGTCAATTAAACCTCTTTTCTTTTTATTTTTTAATTATATTTGAAGTTCTAGGGTACATGTGCACAACGTGCATATTTCTTACATATGTATACATGTGTGATGTTGGTGTGCTGTACCCATTAACTCATCATTTACATTAGGTATATCTCCTAATGCTATCCCTCCCCCCTCCCCCACCCCAGGATAGGCCCGTGTGTGTGGTGTTCCCCACCCTGTGTCCAGGTGTTCTCATTGTTCAATTCCCACCTATGAATGAGAACATGTGGTGTTTGGTTTTCTGTTCTTGTGATAGTTTGCTCAGAATGATGGTTTTCAGCTTCATCCATGTCCCTACAAAGGACATGAACTCATCCGTTTTTATGGCTTCATAGTATTCCATGGTGTATATGTGCCACATTTTCTTACACCAGTCTGTCACTGATGGACATTTGGGTTGGTTCCAAATCTTTGTAATTGTGAATACTGCCGTAATAAACATATGTGTGCATGTGTCTTTATAGTAGCATGATTTATAATTCTTTGGGTATATCCCCAGTAATGGGATGGCTGGGTCAAATGGTATTTCTGGTTCTAGATCCTTGAGGAATCGCCACACTGTCTTCTACAATGGCTGAACTAGTTTACAGTCCCACCAACAGTGTAAAAGTGTTCCTATTTCCCCACATCCTCTTCAGCACCTGCTGTTTCCTGACATTTTAATGATTGCCATTCTAACTGGTGTGAGATGGTATCTCATTGTAGTTTTGATTTGCATTTCTCTGATGTCCAGTGATGATGAGCATTTTTTTCATGTGTCTGTTGGCTGCATAAATATCTTCTTTTGAGAGGTGTCTGTTCATATCCTTCACCCACTTTTTGATGGGATGGATTTTTTCTTGTAAATTTCTTTAAGTTCTTAGTAGATTTTGGATATTAGCCCTTTGTCAGATGGGTAGATTGTAAAAATTTTCTCCCATTCCGTAGGTTGCCCGTTCACTCTGATGGTAGTTTCTTTTACTGTGCAGAAGCTCTTT